AGGAACTCGTTACCAACTCTGTGCTGCTAGACACGACAACCTTTCATGTCACCATTACCTCAGTCTTCAAATGATGATAGCATTACCTACGCCACAGGGTTCCATTGATGATTATGTGAGATTGGCTCTCTGAACATTCTGGAAATGCCAAACGCAGATGTTACACAACATTTATAAAATTATGAAAGAGAATACCTAGGTAGGAGAGAGAACAGGTTTCTTAGGCAACTGGGGGAGGAAGCTTGGACCAAACAGGTGGGAGACTAGAGTTCTCCTAAGAGAGCTCCTGGAGATCAAGAAAGCACTAGACTCAGAAAGGAAAGAAACATACACACCAGTTAGGGAAACTGTGTAAATAACCAGCCTCTATCTACCCTTAGCTTGTGGACCTGTGACTTCAGTCTCATGATGGTGTTGAACCTAAACTCTGTGTGTTGCCTGTGAGAGAATCACAACCAGTAGATACCAGAAGACAGCCTGAAATCCACTGCTGCCCTGGGCTTTAGACCCACAAATGTTGTGTTTCTGGAGCCATAAACATGGGAGGGAGAGACAGCCACAAAGGCCAGGAGCTCGCCGCTTCCAGACATCTGGCTGGAGTTCCACCACACCCTCATCTCCATCCTGTCTGAAATTGCACTCCTGGGGCTGGCCTGAAGCTGGACCAGATTCTTTGAGGAGCAAAGAACCTCTCCCTGGATAATCACCCGAAGAAAGCCTGTGTTTCTTCTTGAGTCCCAGTTTGGAGGTTTTGTCCCCCTTCTCTTTGATAACTTTGCAATATACTTTGCCTCTTTTCAGCCCACGTAATAAATTGATGAAGAGATAAATGAGGGGCCGAATTGACAAGCATGACTGTTTGGGTCTCACTCCTGTAGATTCTAGAACTACTAGCTTCTCCATCATATCTAAACGTCAGTGAGGACATAGTCTCAAATCCCTCAAGTTTGCAGGTAGTTGGGAGTCCTAAGACACTAATTCTGAACAACTAAAGTAGTAAACATTCATGAGCAAAATGCAGTTAGCTTTGGACAACTCATCCATGTCAATAATAATAGGAACAATAGTGAATATTGATAGAGCAGGTTAACGTTTACAAAATGTTTTATACCCTTTACCTCATGTGACCTGATCATGGCAGCTACCCTATGAGGCAGGTGCTTGTACGGCCAGCCTCTGAGCCAGTTCACATGATTCTCTCTTCCTGATATTCATGCTCTTCTGTAGCCGCTCCCACATTGAATAGGGCTCATCTGAAATGATGGAGTGTGGCCTCTAAGATTAGGTCATTAAACACTTTTTGGTCTTCTTCAAGCAAATGGCAATTTTAAAAAAAAAAAAAAGAGAGAGACTTTCTGGCTTTCACCTCAGGCTCTCTTGGGTCCCTCCCTCTGGAGGCAGCCAGCAGCCATCTTGTGAGGATGTTCAGTGGCCCAGTAGGATAGGAGCAACATGGAAATGGATCTTTAAGTTCCTATCAAAACTTCAGATAACTGCAGTCACTCTCAGCATTTTGTAAATAACAGCTTTATTGAAATATAATCCACATACCACACAATTCACCCATTTGAAAGGTAGAAGTCACTAGTTTTTAGTATTTCACAGATAATGTGCAGCCATGACCACAGTCAAACTTAGAACACCTTCGCCACAGAAAGCAAAACAAAAACAAAAACCCATAACCTTTAGCTGCCACCTCCATATCTTCCAGGTTCCCCAGCCCTAAGCAACCACTAAACTGCTTTCCGTCTCTATAAATTTACCACTTGGGGACATTTCATATAAATGGAATTGATAGCATGTGATGTTTTGCAACCGACTTCTTATAGTAAGCATCATGTTTTCAAAGTTCATTCGTGTCGTAGCGTGTATCAGAACTTTGTCTCACTTCATGGCTGAATAGCATTCCATTGTATGCACACACATTTCATTCATTCGTTCATCAGTTCATGAATAGTGGGCTTTTTTCTGACTTTGGGCTATTGTAAATGCATGCTGCTATTTTATATACAGCTCTTTGTGTGGATATACGTTCTCTTGCGTATATACCTAGGTGTATACACTGGGTATATAGTAACTAGATGTTTAAGCATTCGAGGAGCTTCCAGGCTGTTTTCCAAAGTGGCTGCACCACTTTTACATTCCCACCAGGACAATACAAGGCTTCTAGTTTCTCCGCAGACCCACATTTTTTATCTGACTTATTTTGATTTGAAGTGGCATCTCACTGCGTGTTTTATTTGCATTTCCCTGATGACTAACGATGCTGAGCATTTTCCCTGTGTTCTGGGCCATTTGTATCTCTTCTTTGAAGAAAGGTCTATTCAGATCTTTGCCCATTTTTTTAAATTATGTTGCTTTTATTATTGAGCTGTAAGTGTTCTTTATATATTCTAGATATAAGTCTTTTATCAACTATATAATTTTCAAATATTTTATTCCATTCCATAGATTGTCTTTTCACTTTTAAATAGTATCCTTCAAAGTACAAAATATTTTAATTTTGATGAAGTCCGGTTTATGTAGTTTTTTCTTTTGTGGCTTGTGCTCTTGGTGTTACATTTAAGAATCCAGTGCCATCCAAGGTCATGAAGATTTTTCCCAGTTTTCTCATAATAGTTTTATAGTTTTAACTCTTAGATTTAAATATTTGATCCATTTGAATTAATTTTTATATGGTGTAAGTTAAGGATCCATCTTTATTCTTGTACATGTGTATATCCAGTTGTTCCAGCACCATTTGTTAAAAAGATTCTTCTGGCCGGGTGCAGTGGCTCATGCCTGTAATCCCAGCACTTTGGGAGGTCAAGGTGGGTGGGTCATCTGAGGTCAGGAGTTTTAGACCAGCCTGTCCAACATGGCAAAACCCTGTCTCTAATACAAAATTAGCCGGGCATGGTGGTACACACCTGTAGCTCCAGCTACTCGGGAGGCTGAGGCAGGAGAATCTCTTGAACCCAGGAGGTGGAGGTTGCAGTAAGCCGAGATTGCACCATTGCCCTCCAGCCTGGGCAATAGAGTGAAACTACGTCTCAAAAAAAAAAAAACAAAACGGTTTCCCCCATTGAATGGCATTAGCATCCTTCTCAAAAATCAGTTCACCACAGCACACGTGGATATATTTCTAGACTCTCAATTCTATTCCGTTGATCTGTGTGTCTGCTGCTGTGCCAGTAGCACACTGTCTTGAGGGCTGTTGCTTTGTACAAAATTGTACTAAGTTGATATCAGAAAGTGTGAATCCTCCAACTTTGTTCTTCTTTTTCAAGATTGTTTTGGCTGTGGTGGTCCCTTGCAATTTCACATGAATTTCAGTCAGTGTGCCAATTTCTACAAAGATGTCAGCAGGGATGCTGATAGGGATTTCATGGAATCTATAGATGAGTTTGGGGAATATTGCCATTTTAACAATATTAAGTTTTCTGATCCATGAGCATGGACCAGGCCTTTATTTAGATCTTGTTTAATTTCTTTCAACAATATTTTGTAATTTTCAGAGTATAAGTTTTCCACTTTTTTGTTAAATTCATTCGATGTATTTTATTCCGTTTGATACTACTGTAAAGGGAATTGATTTCTTTATTGAATTTTCAGATTGTACATTGCAAGTATTTAGAAATACAATGGATTTTTGTATATTGACCTTGTATCCTAGAAGCTTGTTCAGCTTATTTATTAGTTCTAATAGGTTTTTTTGGTGGATTCCTTAGGATTTTCTATATACAAGATCATTTCATCTGTGAACAAAGATGGTTTTATTTCTCTGCTTCCAATCCAGATGGCTTTTATTTCTTTCTCTTGTGCAATTTCCCTGGCTAGATCCTCTAATATGTTGCTGAATAGAAGTGACAAAAGCAATATCTTTGTCTTATTTCTAATATTCAGGGGAAAACATCTAATCTCACCATTAATATGATATTAGCTGTAGGCTTTTCACAAATACCCTTTGCCTAACTGAGAAAGTTCCCTTCTATTACCAGTTTCTTGAGTGCTTTTACCAGGGAAGTGTTTGGGGTTTGTCAGGTATTTTTTCTGCATCTACTAATATGATCATGGGCTTTTGGTTTTCATTCTGTTGACATGTTGTATTATAGTCATTGACCCACCAACATCTTGACCATGACCTTATGGGACACACCGAACCAGAACCAAGAAGCTAATCTGCTCCTGCATTCTCAATGCACAGAAACTGGGTGAGATAGTAAACACTGTTTCTTTCTGAAGCTAGTGAATTTTGGGGTAATTTGTTATAAAGAATAGAGTAAAAGGATAGCATGAAGCAACTGGAGTTTTATACATGAAGCAACTGGGGTTTGGAGCATTTACTTACCTTACAAACCTCTGGGTTACAGAGTTGATAGTGGAAGTGATTTAAACCAGATCTTCTGACCTAGGTCATTAATTTTCCTCCACAAACTTCTATCTTTAAGGACTCAGCCAAGTTTACTGCAAATTGCTGTCTCTTTGGTTAGCAGGCCCGTCGCAAACATTGGACAAGTAGTTCACTGCACAGGATAAGTGGCTGATGGGCAAATGGTGACCGATATCTGGCCTGTGCTACCTTTCCACATGTGCACAAAGGCATTTCATAAAGCCTGTTGGGCTGTTCCAATAAAATAATATAAATAGAAAAAGTTTCATGTTTTCTGGTCTATAGTTTTATATGCTGTCAGCCAATATTAGTCAATGAGATTGTCCCACTCGGAAAAATTTTTAAATCTGTGACAAGATTCATTCTCACTGCCCTCTGTTCTCACCACCATTATCACCTTCCCCAACCACGCCACCCACAGCCTCTTCCTCAGGATGTGGCTCTTAGGAAGGAGAAATGTAGGGAAGATAATTCATGTGATGTGAGGGTCTTCTATGTACCAATGCATGGTTGGACACCTTACATACTCAATTGTAATGTACAATTGTAACTATGTAACTTATCTTCATGGGTTTGACAGTTAGATATTATTACCTCCATTTCACAGAAAGAAAACCCACTGAGAGAGGTCAAATAACTTTTCCAAGTCACACAGATGGCAAATGGTGGAAGCAGGGTTAGAACACAAGTCCACTGGATTCCAAAAACAGTGCTCTGCTCACCATGTCTTGCTGTTTCATCTAACAAATCCAAAGGTGATGTCCCACCAGGAACAGTGACATTCCCATAGAGAACCTAATGCTGAACAAACAACACTAAAGACCAAAATAAATTTATCTCAAACCCTGGACTGTCAAGCCTTAAAATATGCGATGATTTTGGATATCAAGAACTCCCAACACCCTTCAAAACATAACACATGAATGATCTCTTTGACTTAAGGATAGCCCCACTGACCAGTCCCCATGGATACAAACCGACAGTCCACTGAAGTCCATGTCCTGGGTCTCAGAGGATGGCTTACCTTCTAACTCTGCAATGGAAGGAAAGATCTACTGATACAGAAGGCAGATGTTCATTCATTCCTTCAGCCAATATTTGGAGCTTACAAGAGCAACATCCTTGTCTTGTTTGTATCTGGTATCTGACAGTGCAGAGGACAGAGGATACAGCACTAAACACGGCAGAAGATAATGAGCTCCTTAACTTGCCCTAGTCCTCTTACACAACACATACACACAACCACACCACACACACACACACACACACACACACACACACACACACACAGCTACCTCAAGTGGGAAAGAAACTACTCGCATAACTATGATTATAACCCCTATAGTAGACGACTCAACTGATGGGGCAAAGCTCGGGGGTTTGAAAGTAAGAAGTAACTATGAAAGTTATAGCAATGTTTCCAAAAACTTTTCTCACCTTCTCGAGTGAACAACCAGCACATTCACGCAGATGCCTCTAAGCAGATGTGCAGGGGCCAGAGGAAGAGGCTCAGACCATTGTTCTCCTCTCACCTGCAGGTCAGGAGAAGTACACGGCTAGGAGAAAGAGCATGAAGAAGAGACGACGCTTAGGAAAACTTGGCTCCAGGCTCAGGAATGTCTGCTCGTTATTGCCACAGTCTGACTCGGGAATCTCAGAAGGTGGCAGGGTTTGGGTTCATTTCAGAACAACATGTAGGAAGAATTGACGGGCCACCCACAACCTTATCTGAACCTATGATATCTCCAAAATTGGGCAACAAAGTTTAGAGAAACATCTTTTTCCTTACAGGTTTTTGGTGCCAAGACCCCTTCTGGTCCAATTGTAACTAAGTAAGTATGAAGCCAAGAAAATTAAATGGAATTTTTGGAACTTGATCCTGGGTGTGCTGCAAGCTGAGGACAGACATATTTGGACTGATGAAAGTGGGGTGTAGGCTTGTTTGCTTTAGGGTCCTTCCCAACCCACGGAACTCTGGCCAGTCTTAGAGTCAGTCTGGCTTCCAGGCTCCTTGGAAAGACCAAAGTTCAGAGTGATCTGTCCAAAAACCTCTCCTTTTACAATGTATCAGAAGAAGAAAATTAGGTTAAGACAGAACCGCTTTAAAAACTCCATGTACCAGAAAAACTGGTTAGAAAAGCGGAATTTGAAACTATGCCAAAGAAACAGATGCACAAGTACTGATAAGGTCAGAGAGTGGGCAGTCTCGAGGGCTGCGCAGAGGGCAAAGGAAAAGCAGTGAGCAGGGAGCTGGGCCTGCTTCCGCCTGCAGCCCGCACAGCTCAGCTCTCACACCTCGCAAACTGGGCTCTGAAAAAGCTTCCGTTTAGAGAAAAGGGTTCTGGTACATGAGCTGGCTTAGATCGATGACTGATAGATGGATACATGATAGATAGATAGATAGAGATACAGATCAGTATAGATTAAATAGATTATAGATAGAATAGCTATAATCAATGCTAAATAGATAATAGATTAGATATAGATCAATATAGATTAAATAGATGATAGAATACATATAAATCAATGATAGATTATATAGATGATAAATAGAATAGATATAAATCAATGATAGGTTAAATAGAGGATAGATAGATAGAGATATAGATCAGTATAGATTAAATAGATTATAGATAGAATAGCTATAATCAATGCTAGACTAAATAGATAATAGATTAGATATAGTTCAATATAAATTATATAGATGATAGAATACATATAAATCAATGATAGATTATATAGATGATAAATAGAATAGATATAAATCAATGATGGGTTAAATAGAGGATGGATAGATAGATAGATAGATAGATAGATAGATAGATAGATAGAATGAATATTGGAAGATAGACCAAGACAGAGAGAGAGAGACAAGATATACTCACCATGAGAAATCCTGCTGGGGCAGAAAGGATGCTGCTTTGGACATTAGGAGACATGTCTTCTGGTCTAGGCTGCCACTAGTTCTGATGTGATCAAAACCTGTCAGTCTGTCTTTTTGTTTTAAGTGCTCACTAAGGACCTTTCACCCCAACATTAGCTGGCTCTCTGATTGCAAAGAAGCTCTACAAGATTCCTACGGTGGCCTTTAATGATCTCAAAACCTACTCTAATCGCTTCATGGGAAATGGAGTTTTATGGAGAGATCAACTTGGAAACTATTAGCTCCTCTCTACGCTTGGAAGATCCTTGTAACCCATCACAGAAAGCAATTCAGAGAAGAAATCTGCACACTGTACTCAAAGAGTACTACCCTGTGCCCTGAATCTTAATAATCACCCCCAAAATGAGAATAATAACAGCATACTGTTATTGAGAACCCACAATGGGTCAGACATGGAGCCCAGCACTTTATACGTATTAACTCATTTAATTTCCACACCAGTCCTATGAAACTGGACCTAGTATCAGTCTCATTTTACAGGTTGGGAAACTAAGGCTCTAAGAGGTTAAGAGACTTGTCTAAAATCATGTTGCTGCTCATAGCAGAAGCCAGCTTCGGCATCAGTGCTTTGAACCACAATGCTGCTAAAAACAAAGACCAAGATGAAGTCCGTGTTGGTATCTGAAGACCCACCAGAGAAGGAAGAAGGAGCTGGAAACGTAGTGAACCGCACTTTCTAGCATACAGTAGCTACTGAATAACAACAGAAGTCTAGAGGGATGCCTCAGAGGTACTTCAGAATAGGCTGGCCACGCACTGAGTTATGAAGGAGCAGTGGCTCTTAGGGACAGAAGAGGAACATACTGAAATAGTTCTCCAAAGCAATGAGGAAATCAGGTCAATGACTACTGGCAGAGTGAGAGAAAGAGAAACAAGCAGGTCCCAGTAGACAGGGTAAGGGGCGCATGTCGCAAGGGGAACGGCCACGTGTCCAAGAGTCTGTCTGCATTGCTTAATGGTTCCAGGACTATGTGAATGGATCTTATACACTGCTGAATTCCCGGCGTAAAGCTTTAAAAGGGTCAGCTCTGGGCCAAGTGAGCTGAGAGAAAGCTCTGCCTCCAACTTCTGAGGTCGTTTCTCCTTCATATTTGTGCCTGTTCTTTACAGAAGAGAGGAAGGAAAGAGAAACCCACTGACATTTCAGTACATTTTCCCTTAGAACATTTGACTAAGTATCCCCCATATTCCTCTTCCTTATAGTCCTGTAGCCTTTGCCTTCTGGCCTAGTATCTCCAGAATTCTAACCTTTCCTTCCTCTCCTCTGTCCACATGGCTTGTTTCTCTTGAAAAATTTTCACATCTCCCTAAACAAGAATGGTTGCCTGCCAGCAGCAAGGAAGCAGTGCTGTCCCTCAGAAAGTGTCTGGAAAGGCTGGTCTATGTGACAGAAAGAAAACCAGCCAAGAGCCAAGAGCAGGCACACTGCCTTCCATGAGGAGGGAGGGGAGGGAGGAAGAAGGGAAGGAAGGAAGGAAGAAAAGGGAAGAAAGGAAAGGAAGGGAAGGGAAGGGGAGGGGAGGGGAGGGGGAGGGAGGGAAGGGGAAGGGAGGGGAGGGGAAGGGAGGGGAGGGAGGGAGGGAGGGAGGGGAGGGGAGCGAAGTGGAGGGGAGGGGAAGGGAGGGGAGGGAGGGAGGGAGGGAGGGGAGGGGAGCGAAGTGGAGGGGAGGGGAAGGGAGGGTTGGGAAGGGAAGGGAAGGAAGGAAGGAGGGAGGGAGGGAGAGGGAGGGGAAAAAAGGAAGGAAAGGTAGAAAAGGAAGGAGGGAGAGAGGGCAGGAAAGGAGAGCTGGACAGAGGGAGAGAGGAAAGGAGGGAGGGAGGTCGGGAAGGAAGAAACTTCCCTTCCCTGGGGAGGATTACCTTGATGGATAGTTATAGCTTGTCTGAGGATTTGGTGATCTCAGATTATAGTTAGGGCCTGCCGGCAGGCTTTGAAATTTTTTTCTGTTAAATGAATCAATACTACATTCTGTTAATGACCTTGATAGACACTCTGTGCTGTTTGCTTTTTCAGCCCTAAGCCCTTTAAAAATCCTCTGCTGAGTGGTCCGGATATCCATCCCACTTCATCTCTCTCCACTCCCAAGGGGGATCCTCTACCCCTGTGAAGTCACCTTGTCTGTTTTTCTCACTGTCTTATCTCACTGCCTTTTATTAGAGTTATGTAGGTATCAGTCTGTCTCTCAAACTACAATATAAATTTCTAAAGGCTAATGTGCTAGATTTCCTATTATCCCTCCAGGTCCACTTCCCACCTTCTCCATCCTGCTTTTGGGATTCTGAACTCTTCAGTTCCCCACCAACCCACCTTGGGTCTCTTGCACCTGTGGCTGCTGGTGAGTGTGGCCAGCGGGAGGCACAGATGAAAGATTGGAGTGCTCGCCTCAATGAGAAGAGGGAGAGCCCAGGTACATACTCCCTCCTGCCAGGCCCGGCTTTGTCATTTACTCACCATTATTGAAGTGTTATTGGTCCTGTGGATCCCTCAAGACAGTACAATAGATGTTGCTTTAGGTTCGGAAGAAGGAGGAAGCTTGGTCATGGCAGTACTAAGGAGGACCCTGAGGGTGGTGAGTGCAGGGCGGGGCAGACAGGAGAGTCAGTGGAGGGGATTGTGCCCAAAGACAGGGAAAGGCCCTGAAAGAAAAATGGATTCATTCACATATCTGTGCAGGCTGGCCCGGCCCGCCCACTTCCTTCCCCTCCTCCCTGCCTGCCATTACTTCTCTACATGAACCACTACTTCTTCTCTTCTCTTCCTGCTGTTTTCACTCGTGTATGTACAGTTCAGGTTATAGAGGAAATCCATGTTCACTATTGCTTAAAACAAGATGTCAGGTACCTCTTACGTGACATCCAAACACCAGAGGCTCTGGAAGAAAATTAGGGAATCTGAGAAAGTAGTTCCATAAGAACCCTGATATTTATGGCTCTACCTGGAATGAGTGAACGTCACGTGGAAGGAATTCCAAGAGGTAGGATTTCTCCGCAATGTGTGCTCAAGAAACCTGGAGGCCAGTGTCATCGCAAACTGGGATGACCTCTCCTTTCTCCAGCATTCAAATTAGAACCAGTGAGAATCAGATCACAAAGATCATGCCTTATGAGTATGGAGTATGGGACTTAAAGACTCTAGAGGAGCCCCTGCCACCGTGACGTGATTCTCTGAGGCGTGGGCCCCATGGCCACCAGGGATGGGGGAGAAGCAAGGATGTGCTGGGTTTCTGATCACAGGTACAGTGCTGCACTCTCACTAGTGGGGTTTGGGGCAAAGGCTGCTCATTGTCTACTGCAGTTTCTCTCTATTCTCATTATGCCAACTGGAGAAATGACAGTATTTCCCAGTCTCCACTAAGTTTTGGCCGATATGCTATAAACAGAATTAATGTGTGACGCTTCCAGGAAATTTCTTTATACGACTGTCGTCAGATGCCATTTTGTCCCCTCCTTCATTGTTCCTTTCTTCTTTCTCCTGCTTAGAATGTGGATGTGATGGCTGGTGTTTGAGCAGCCGCCTTGGACTATGAGGTGGAAGCCCCATGCGGAGTAAGAGTATTCAGACTGAAATCTGATTCCCTGGCAGTTTGTATGATCGTATCAGCCCTGGACTGCTTATCTCTAGACTTCTTATGTTTAAAAAGAAAATAAATCTCTATTTTCTCTATAACACTATTACTTTGGTTTCTTTATTATATGTGACCTGATCTGATTCTAATTGATTAAAAAAAAAAATCTCTCGAGGCTTTAGGTATAACACATAAGTTATCTTAAAAAAATTCTTGCTGAGAAATTCCACTGTCACTTCCTTAATTTTCTCCAGAGGTGTCTCAGTACAGAAGTCGCTCTCTCTTTCTTTCTAGGGAAGTGAAGGCAGCGTTTCCGTGGTCCTTGAGTATGTGCATTTCATGGTCTGAACGACAGAGGAGAAACGAAATATTATTTAGGTCCCCATTCTGGTTCACGGGTTCCCTGGGGGCAGCTGTGCCACAGTGTAACTATTACATAGAAACATGAGACCCACCTACATTTAGAACCAACCTAGAGATTAATCGCAATTTGATGTCTCCAGATTACTGGGTGATCCTTAGATAAAAGAGGCTCAGGAAGCAGAAACACATCCGCGTCTTCAGCTAGAAAAGGACACTCGGTGAGTCAGAGTCCACACAACACAGCTGCGATGGAGAGTGGTCGATCTGGCCATTTTGGGAAGTAGTTGGCAGGAGAGGGAAGTGGCGAAGGAAGAGGAGGGAGGGGGCGGGTGGGGCTGGCAGGGAGTGGACACAATGTTCCTGACCACTCCTTCCTCCAGCTGTGCCCGCCATGGGGTGTGCCTTCAGTCCCTGCATGGTCTCCACTGCCATCATCCCTGCCCCAAACATAAACCCCAGTTTATTCCCTGAACCAGCCATGTTCCTCCAGAGCTACAAGCCTTCGTTCATGCTGTACCCTGCGTCTAGGAAGCTCCTAACCCTCCCCGAGTCCAAATGAGACCTCCTCTGCTTCTAAGATTTCCTCAGGCAGCGGTCGAACATTTCTCTTTTGCGCTTCCAAAGCACTTTGTCTTCAAGGAAATTTCAGTCTTTAGGGACAGCCAAGGGGCTGCATCCTATGCATGTCTGAGTTGCATTAATACAACTGCACATGCTCAGTAAACAGAATGGAAAGAGAAAGAGATCTCTTTATTCCCCATCCTCCAAAGAATAAACCTTATACATTATTTTTATAAAAGCTTTATAAAAGGAGGCTCTTGCTGAAAACAAAGGAAGCTACTTAGTCGGTTTATGGGATTTTTGCGGGAGCAGTTTTCTGGACTGGTGGTGCTGACTTGGGACTAAGTCTCTGAACGTGACGTGACTCCTCTGCACAGCATCCAGTGATGGCTTTCTGGAGTGCCTCCGTTTTCTCAGCTGTGAGCCAAGGAAGGGCAGGAACTGGTGATATTTACCTGGGGATCCTCTGGGCCTCGCACAGTGCCAGGCACACAGCGCTCAAGAAATGTTGGAAGAAAAGTTGGATGATTCCAGTGTTTCCTACTGGCGGCGCCACAGTTAGGATCTGAGGGAAGCCGTCTTACCCAGTGTATCTCTGCTGCAGGCTTTGCGAACTGTCATCCAATCCCATCTCTGAAGACACCTAAACCCAAGCTATTCACTTTCAAAGTGGCCCACATCACTGCAGATATGAGCGATTGTCAGCAGACAAGGAACATGCAGGACGCCCATCATGGTGCCATGAGCACGAGGAGCTTAAGTGACTTCTGCTGCTGCTGCCACCACTGATGATGAGTCACTAATGGAATCAGAAGCCTTAAGTTCTGAATTAATTACACTGTCATCAGGGCTTGGGAAACTGTCAGGTACTAAGGGCCCATTTCATTCCCAGCCATGCTCCTGAGAAGTCAATGTTTTGAACATCTCAGTTCTCTAGTGATCAGCCTTCTGAAATCCTCAGAGTGGCTATGAACCTGGCAGTAACTGTAGTTCTCTAGTGATCAGCCTTCTGAAATCCTCAGAGTGGCTATGAACCTGGCAGTAACCGTAGTTCTCTAGTGATCAGCCTTCTGAAATCCTCAGAGTGGCTATGAACCTGGCAGTAACTGTAGTTCTCTAGTGATCAGCCTTCTGAAATCCTCAGAGTGGCTATGAACCTGGCAGTAACTGTAGTTCTCTAGTGATCAGCCTTCTGAAATCCTCAGAATGGCTATGAACCTGGCAGTAACAGTGCAGTGGAGGGAAAAACACTTTTTGATGAGGGCATCACCCATAACAGTAGATGGAGGAGAGATGAGGACCTGCAAATGGCAGTCGAGAATGGCCAAGAAATTCGGCCCTTAGCTGGGTGTGGCAGCGGGTGCCTGTAATCCCAGCTACTCGGGAGGCTGAGGCAGCAGAATTTCTTGAACTTGGGTGGCGGAGGTTGCAGTGAGTCGAGATCACACCACTGCACTCTAGCCTGGGTGACTGAGTGAGACTCCATATAAAAAAAATTTTGAAAAAGGCCAGGCTCAGTGGCTCACACCTGTAATCCCAGCACGTTGGGAGACCAAGGAGGGCAGATCACGAGGTCAGGAGTTCAAAACCAGAATGGCCAACATGATGAAACCCTGTCTCTACTAAAAAGTACAAAAATTAGCTGGGCAAGGTGGCTCGTGCCTGTAATCTCAGCTACTTGGGAGGCTGAGACAGAATTGCTTAACCCTGGAGGGACTCTGGAAGCAGAGCTTGCAGTGAGCTGAGATCGTGCCACTGCACTCCAGCCTGGGCTACAGAGAGAGACTCCACCTCAAAAAAAGAAAAATAAAAAAAGAAATTCGGCCTCTAACCTGAAAAAGACAAGAAACCATTAAGAGTCAGATCTGCATTTTAGGAAGGTCACTCAGGCTGTAGTAGAGACAGTGCATCCATTGGATTCAAACTGCAGTCAAGAGGACCAGAGAGAAGAGCGTTGTTTTGGTCTTGCACCAGAGGGCTGCCAGTCACTGAACCAACTCATGGCACTGGGAGAAGCAAAGTAGGCATGAAGGCCTATGAGGAGAGGACTGGATGAGGGATTGGATGGAAGACAAGATGAGAGATTGGACGTGGCACTGGAGGAGGGAGTGGACACGGGACCGGAGGAGGAATCGGACGTGGGACTGGAGGAGGGAGTGGACGTGGGACCGGAGGAGGGATCGGAGGTGACACCGGAGGAGGGATCAGACATGGGACCGGAGGAGGAATTGGACGTGGCATCAGAGGAGGGATCGGACGTGGCATCGGAGGAGGGAGCGGACGTGGGACCGGAGGAGGGATAGGATGTGGGACCGGAGGAGGGATCGGATGTGGGACCGGAGGAGGGATCGGACATGGCATCGGAGGAGGGATCGGACGTGGGAGGATGACAGATTAGATGTGGAACCAGATAAAGGATTGGATATGAGCAGGTAAAGAGAAGGGACCATCGAAGGGGACACCTGGGTTTCTGGTTTGGGTGACAAATTAGTGATAGTGCCAATCACTGACAAGCAGCTCCATGAAGAACTTAATGCCTCATCCAGAGTATCCACCACTAGAACGAGAAGGGAAGAAGTCAAAGCCTCCCCCATCCCTCCTGCTCCAATTCTGCAACACAGTTGCGTGCATGCAGCCAGTCTACTGCTGTCTGCAATCTAGCCCCCAGGAGCCTCCAAGTCCTGCAAGGGTCAAGGTCGCCCCAAAGACAACAGGGCAAATATTGTGACAACGAAGGAGAAACCTAGTTAGAGGCAGAAGACAGACCTTGCCTGGAGTCTGACTGGCCAAGGGCCACACAACTCTTTTGCAGCCTTACCACTGCCTGCCTGAGTGTTTCTTTGCCCATTTACAAGAAATCATGGAGCTCAGCCTAATGAATTTATAAAATATATACCAGGTGCCAAGTACTAGCTGGATAATAAGGGTTTAGGGTTTAAAAATCTTCTGTCAATCCAGTGGGGAAGGGCGGCTCCTGCAAAGATCTATGGTTCGGCGTGTTGATTATGAGAGGACAAATCAACAGAAAGGCTGAGTGTCAAAGACCCTGAATGGAACAAGGAAAATAGAGACAAGATGGATCAACCCACTCACTTTTCAGACAGAGAAGACACTGGTGCTTCTCGATGGCAAC